CACTTGTCAGATTGTGGTCCCGGCAAAGGCAAGGTTGAGCGAGTACGTTCCGAACTACGAGGAGACCGCGGTCACCGTCGCAGGACGGGAGGCGGCTCAAGAGTTGATGAAGCTGCTCTCGTGCGACTTTGAAGGTTTGGTCATCAACTCGAAAAGAGTCTCGGAGTTATTCGAGGAAAAGGTGCTGAAGGAAACTGGACGAGAGGCTGGAAACTGGGTGAGTAGTGACCAGGCAATCTGGTTCCTGAGAGAGGTCACGGGCATGGAGAACGCCGAGATGTCGTGGAAGTTCTTCATTCCGACGATCAAAGCTTTCCCGGTAGGGCAAGTTGAGGCAATGCTCATGATCATGTATGATGGGAATGGTGTCCTCCTCAGGGAGTGCACTAGATTGGTGGCCGTTAGGTACACGCGAATCGGACGAGCCATGAGTTTCAGTGCCGTTAGGCAAAGATACACTCAGGAGGATGCACCTGGCGGATCTCTGATGTACGAGATGCACTGGAATGAACTCCCTATGGTGGGGTACGTCATCATGGAAGTTCTTGGACTTCAGGAAGGCAGTCCAACTCCAAAAGATGAGGCGGAACGGAAAGGCCATGATCGAGATATTGATCACGAGGCCCGATGTATACAAGTCTATTGGGGATGGAAGGCTGGATGAGGGCCTGGTTCCGATTGTGGAAACTATGACGCCGAACGCCGAGGTATTGCCGTCGTGGTACGTCAGGGACAGGCTGCGGAACTACTCAGGTAGGTAGTGGTCATAGTGGATCTTCGGGTGCGTTGGTCGTTGGTTGGACCTGTGTTTCTGACTAGGAGAAAGACCCTTGCTGTTCGGAACGAAATCCACATGGGTGCGTGGAAGGCCGCGTACATGTTCGATGATTACACGATAGTGTATCATCGGGCCTGGGACTATGGTGACCTAACCCCCGATAGGGGGGAGCACAAGCGGTCGCGTGAGGAAGTCAGGTTGAACGTGACCACCACCTTCTGTTTGAGGTGCGCGGAGATGACGCCGAATGGGATGCATTTGTGCCCTGGGTGTGCGCTCCCGGTATTCTACCCGAACTTCATTCCCAACGCGGACGAAGATGACTTCGAGAGGTGCGGCGTCATCCCGGACTGGGTGAAGAGTATGAGGCAGTTCAAGCCCAAGAGGATCCCAACCGAGGTGGTCGGAGTTATCAAGAGGAATTTGATTTCCTATTCGATGACGGTGCAGAGCGGCATAAGACTGCCCCCTTATCTTGGTGAGGACAAGGGAGGGGTCGATGCCGCGTGGGATGAGCTGGCGAAGGTGCTCTTTCAGTTCTCCTATGTGTCAAGGATTTCGGCCTCGGACGCGTTTGTGGAGAAGTGGGTGGCGAAGCACCTCATCAAGACCAATCAAGTCGATAGATTTGATTCGGTCACTGAGTATTTCCGAGCAAATCCGATACATGCGGCCCAATGGGGTAGGCGTATGACGACTTCCGTTAGGAAGTTCGCCCGCCATGACACGCACTTGTCCTTCTATATCCCGATGGCGTACGTGATTGGTGCTGCGGCAGGTCATCTGACTCCCTTGTATCCGACCCACCGGAAGGACGTGGACATCCTGGCTAGTCATGCACTGATAGCAGACCTCAGGAGGTACTTGGTCTCAGCGACAGGATACGATGAGAAGAAGAGATTGAGGGAGGCGGTAGCCAAGGTGCAGAAGGCGATCAACGCTGGGCAATCAGAGCCTCCTGCCCCGTTCCGTGACCCATTCGTCTACGTTAGTGACGAGAGGGTGAGGACGGTTATTGATGGTCGTCAACCGGAGCCAGGAGGTGAACGTTGAAGAGCTCCAGTCGGTGCATCATGCTGCGCAGGGTCCTGGTCCTAAGCAGGAGCCGATCGTCAAGGGCGGAAAAGGAAAAGGGAAGAAAGGAGAGAAGGGCGGTAAGGGCGGTAGTCCTTCCGGCCCACCACCAAAGTCAGGTGAAGTGCCAGAGAAAGGGTCTGGTAAGGGCGATAGTCCTTCTGTCCCACAGGCAAAAGCAAAGGCTGATGCTGGGCCGGCTCCGATGGAGGTTGATACACCTGCGGCTCAACCGAAGAAGACTTGGGTCGCGATAGCGGTTGAAGGAGCCCGGCCAAGTGCGAAGGCTAAGATGACTCCGGTCCCAAAAGCCGAGCCGAAGGGAAAGGCCGCTTCAGTGACTGAGGCGAAGAGTGCTTCAGCCCCGAAGGCTGGGCCTAAGGAGACGAAGCAGGCCGACCCGAAAGTTGAAGTCAAGAAGGAGAAGGTAGGCGGTGATGATGCTCCCGGCGGTAGTCGAGGCTCAGCTGAAGGGCAGAAGAGAGAAAGGAAGTCCCGTTGGGATCCCGACGAGACTGTGAAGGAGTCGACAAAGCGGGAGGCATCAACGAGGCCTGATGACGTTGACAGCAGGCCAGGTGCGGCAGCGAGAGAGGCAAGTGGAGATGATCTTCATTCCGCGCTTGGTAGATCTTCGGCAAAGGATGCGGTAGCGCCTTTGACGGCCTCCAAGGCAATGGCGAAGAAGCCTGAGGGTGAAATCAGGTTGCAGTCGGCGGAGCGAGCTGCTGCGAGCTCGGTGGAGGGTCATTTCCTGGTGTTGCCGGAGAGTTCGGTGGTGAACGCTTTCCTGACGATGTCACCCGATAGGGTGCTGAATAAGCAGGTCAGAGATTTCATCAGAAATGGTGAGGATGCTTCGGCGCTGGAGGCTCTCAACCAGATCGTGACGAACTCTCGCCTCGGGAGGGGTCGTCGGGATTCGGATGTATCCCGTACTCCTTCTCGGAGGTCCGTTAGGACCGTGGATACCAGGGATTCTCGAGAGTCGAGAAGGCGCAGATATCGTCCGCGGCGTGACGAAGATCGTGACCGGAGAAGGGACGATGCTCGAGATCGTCGTGGTGATGACTCACTCGATCGGGAGCGGGATCGGAGGCGAGATGATCGCAGGAGATCCGAGAGGGATCGTGATAGGGACCGTGCGCGGGGCGGACGTGACCGGAGGAGACGTGACGATAGCCGATAGGCTGAGTCACGAGGATTGCGGCCGATAGGCTTGCGTCCGTTCTCCGATGGTTGGCGCGGTGCGGAGATGGTGATGCTCCTCCCGAACCGCTGAGGCGCGGAGATCATGTCTCTCCCGTACCGCTGCTCGGCTGCTGGTCTTGCTCATCATGAAGTAGTATGAGTGAGAGGGGAAGCAAACTGGCGGAGGGTACTCCCAAGTTTGCGGAATTCAAGCATTTTTCAGGTACGCATGGTCAGTAGTACTTCTTGCCGATAGGCGGGTACTGATGAACATACGGTATCCTTTGTTTCATGGCTTCTGATAAGAATTGAACTTCTTGCATTGTTGATGCAAACAGTTGTGGCCTAGTGCCATCATGTGGACTCTTCCACAAGGTATGTTGGACAGCGTTACCCCGACTAATTCGGGGTGGTGGCGGGAATTTAATGCCCGGGATGTCGCGCAACTGCCTTTGTGGGTTTGCTCCACCGCTGATGGCGGTAGTGTCCAGCTGTTTGCGGACACATGCGAGCAGTTAAATCCTATCAGTAAATGGCACGCTCCGCCCGTCATATGACGGACTCCTCGTGAGGGGGGTGTGATTAGCCATGCATTTCAGGTGACCACCGGCGTGTTGCGATAGCAACCATCCGGTGCCACTTTGGCTCAAGTTTACGGGTTCCGTCGCGCCTCGAATGGGCGTCGCCGAACCCCTGCGTCGACCGACGGCATCTCGGGGGAGAAAGAGACCTCGGGCCGCCGCCAGGTTGGTAGGGACCAGTCGTGCGGCCTGTTGTCGATCAAGGTTGCGGGTTAACCCTTTTCTCTTTTGGTTTGTTTCCCTTTGGTTGTTGTTCTCTGGTGTGTGGGAAACCCTGATCTTTGGGACCGGGGATTGGTTTGCTTTTGGGGAACCTTTCTTTTGTGGCTTGTTTACCCCAACTAACCCATTGCCTGGGCACAGGTTCGTGCCCGAATCACACAAAGATATGTTTGATGCACAAAGGTATGTTTCTTTCCTGGTTTGCCAGGTGTCACGCGTCCTTGGAGTCATGTTTGATGAATCTTTGTTGCGTGAAAGTTCTTTGAGGCGCGGCTTTCCGGGTTTTTTTAGGCGTCACATGTTAAAGGTATGTTTGATATACCTTTGCAACGGGAAAAGTTTCTTTCCGGTTTCCCATGCGTCACAGGCTAAGGGTATGTTTGATGTACCTTTGTAATGTGAAAAGTTCTTCAAGGCGGAGCTTTCCGGTTTCCAGGCATCACATGTCAAAGGTATGTTTAATGCACCTTTAAAAAATCTTTGTGGCGGGGCTTTTCGGTTATCCTAGGCGTCGCGTCAGAGGTATGTCTAATACCTTCGTAGTGTGCAAGATTCTCAGTGGCGGGGCTTTCCTGTTGCCCAGGCGTCGCATGTCAACTGTATGTTTGATGAATCTGTGTCGTGTGAAAGTTTCCGGGTTCCCCAGGCGTCACTTTCAGGCGTCACGTGTCAAAGGTATGCTTGACGTGTCAGGTGAAAAGTTCTTTGAGGCGGAGCAACTTTGCCGCTTTAGAGGGTTATTTTGGTGTTTTGTCTTGAGCGTCTTTGACTGGAATAGCTTGGAAACATCAGCGCTGAATTGGAAGAAGGGTACATGAAAATGCATAGAACAACATCTTGTATAAGACATGCAATTGGAGATTGCAATGGCCGCATTTCATTTACCCTGTTTTTTCTTCCGTACTGAGTTACCTTGTTGACTGACGTGGGCACTCGCGTGCCACAGTTCCATACCTGAGAACATGGAGCATCACGAAGCAAACAAGGTGTGAAGTTGACAGCAGGGTGAAAGCCGCGGAAGGTTTTTCATCATTTTCATAGTCGCGAAGAAGCATCAAAGCATTAGCCTTGTGGCATACATGGGCTCCCTCCAACTCTTGAAGCCAAAAGTCTAAAGGTTTTACTGAAATCCGCCGTACTTTCTCAAGCTCTTCAGCTTTTGGCACAAGCTCCTTCCAAGACTCTTTCCAGCTCGTCATGCCCCTGGCGCATGGTGGCCTCCCGAGCATTTTGCCAGCAGATGTGATGGCCGAACTGAAGGAGACGGCCACCAAGCTTTGCGCACCAGGTGGACTGGGATGATTTGTTGGAGTTGTTGAGTTCAAAAGAATGGTTTGACCTGATGTCTTTGGTACATCGTGCAGATCGAGAGAAGAAGGGTCACAAGTCCCATGTCAAAGTGGGTTGAAATGAATGATGAAATGAGGAATGATTTGCAGCTCAATTTGCGGTACGAGTCGCCCGAAATCCATTTAGATCTTGCAAAACAGAATCATCACACTTGGTCTCCAATCGACGGCCCCAGCCCCATCCTATCAACCTGCCCCCCTCCTCTTGGCTTTGGGCTTCACTGGGCTCCAGGCAAGGGTTTCTTGGCTGCCGATGAGAGTGCGGGACCATGGCTCCGCGCCGGACACGCCGAAGCGGCCAAGATCCCCGAACCTTCGGCCATCGACCATGTTTGGGGTGGCTGGTTGGGGCGGGGTCGGCCTTTTCGTCCCTTTCTTGCACTCTTTTGCTTGGATCCCAAACCCCTCAGTGTTGGTTTCACCTTGTTTTCAACCTTGGACTGCTCCGTGGAAGTGTTGGAAACCCTTTGTTCCGCAAGTCTTATTTAATTAACACGCCTCTACTGTGACCATTAAGATAAACTTCATGTAAACTGATCGCCAGATATGCAGATGTGCTGTACAACTGTGTCCCTCATGGTCAGCTCAATTGTACCATGAAATGCGGTGTGCCTCTTTGGCTGACCCAAGTTGTGTAGCACCCTGTAACCCGACTCTGTCTCTTACCTTCTGCTGCTGCACTATCTGCCTTCTGATAGTCCTTGCTCTGACAATCCTGTTGTAAATCTCAATGATGGGTTCGCTTTGATTGTAGGCACCATGTACTGCACCGTCTCACCAAGCTCGCAAAGCGCCGTGTTCCATCTGTTGAAGTAGCTTACGCATCCGTTGCCAAGCATGAGTGAATGACCCTGTTGTAGTTATGCTTGATCCGTGCTTTGAGTGTTCTGATTTGCGCAAACAATGTTCTGTGTGCTCGTTCTACTCCTCCTTGTGATTGTGAGCTGTGTGCTCCTGAGTTTCTTGTGACTTTTGGTGATGTTGCCTCTTGTTTGCGACTGTTGTGATCAAAGCTGTCAGAAAGTTCTCCTGGTCTGACTGTAGTATGGTGTGTGTTGTTCTTCCACATTCAACGAGGAAGCGCTGTACTTGTCGGACTCTTGTTGGTCAGTTGTATGGCCATGATCGTCCCAGACTAAATGTCAATTGCTGCGAGTATCGCAGCCTCTGCTGTAGCCGAAGTCGAGCTGTATGATTGGAAGGTTGATGCTCAAGTTGCTGTAGTTGTTGCAAACCATGGCGGGCATACGTGTGTGGCCGCACCGCTGTCAATCGTAAGACTGACCCATTGACACAGGGAGGGCGCAAAGGCGTCGGTTGCTTTGTGAGAGGAGATGAAACCGTCAGAGTTGAACTTATCAACCGTTATGTGCTGACCAAGTCGCAGACGTCGGCCTTGTCTGGCGCATACTTCAGAGCGTGGTATGGATTTTTGTCAGATTTGGAAGATACAAAGGTTCCGCTGAACAGATCCAAAAGTGGAATTCCACTTCCCGCGGCTCATACTCGAAAGAACCCCACAGTCGGCAGAATATTCCGCGACATGGGAGCTTCCCAGGTAATCAAAGAGGCGCAAGCTTTCCATCAAGGAAGAATTCAAAACTTGGATGGCGGCCTGAGCGAACCCAGGCGCGTCGCGCAGGACTGCGGTTCCTAACAGCAGGAGTATACCATTGCGAATGCAATGCGACGAAGCCGTACAATGCGGTCATTGGAAACATGGTCCGATTCATAAATCGGGGACTAATAAATAAAAAACACATCGTCGGTGTCATCACTGGCGACGCGAACTCTGCGTGCCACAGTCTCTGGTGTGGCTCCCTGAAGGGAAGGAATCGCAAAATGTTTCAACGAGGCCCAAAAAGAGCCATTGGGCCTCTCATCGGGTTCGAGGCCGAGGTCATCGCTTATGTTGCGTCGCCGAAGTTCTTGCATTCGGAACATGGGCTACTAGGCGATCTAGGGCACCTTAAAATCGTCATGCTCAAGCCCGGCCTTAGAGCCGTAAATGCGTGAAGATTCCGATATGGATCTCCTTGAGGCCGAAACTTCAACACATATTTCCTGAATAACCTCGATGTTCTCCATGAGAATAGTAATCTATCTGGGGCAGCATTGAAACACCAGAGAGAGAAGGTGCAACAATGTCATCTTAATGACACATGATGATGAATAACCTTTTCTGTATTCCAGATGGCATTTCCAATTCTTTACGCCGATTCACCGCGATTTCTCACAGTGATCCTGGGTGTAGTCAGTGTCTTTCCTATCTTTGCCGTGTACATATCTCACCAGATCACGTACAGATTCTTCAACACTGGCCTGAGCCCGTTCCAAGGTTGTGTGTCTCTTTGCGGAACCCGAACAATGCAAAAGGTCGACGGTACAAACACCCAAATGTGCTACTATTGCGCGACACTGTATATTCCAGGCATATGGGCCGAGTGATTGAATCGCTTCATGACAGTATTCTTTGAGTCTGAGATGCCATGAATGGAAAGAAATTTGTGTCTGTTTTGTTTCTCGTTTGTTCTGTGCTTGGTTCACAGTATCCACGAATCCACGCATGCAGCAATCTCATTGCCATTTCCTGGCTCAAGGCCTGGTAGCTTTCACAGTCTCTAGTTCACAGCGAAAAAGCCCGCTTTGCTGACCGTGGTGCAGATTACACTTGTTTCAATACATATTTACCTTGTGTGTCGGAGTAGGTCCAACTCCAGGGACCTACGAGGCGTGACCCCCTATGCACGTAATTTGGCAAGTTTAAGCTTGATTTTGGGAAGGGTATCATCCGACACCTTCCTGAAACTGATGTACCAGGTAGTGTGACGCCAACAAACGATTCAATGGACCTGCCAAGGGCCAACGGAAACGGACCGCTTCATTTGATTTACGACACAACTTTAAGATCCCGCGCCTGAAGATGAGTCAGAAGAGAACCAAAACTGAGGCCTTCCTTGAACAGGGTCTTACCTTTGACCAGCCGTGGTCCATGAATGTTGATGACATCCTGATGCTTCCATAGCTCGCTGCCCCTTTCTCTCAATTTCAGGATGTGATCGAGAACAGGGCAGCCTATCGCTCCTTGTGTTTCTCCACTCCCGGGTTGAGCGAGCACATCAGCGGAGTCATTCTGCACTGGGAGACGCTCTTTCAGGATGATGGTTTAGGTAAAGCCATGGTGGACATCATCCAGGGCAATGGCATGATTGCTGGAATCAAGGTGGACAAAGGCTACAACAAGAAAGGCATGTGGGGAACTCTCGTTGGACCTTTGGGCCATCCAGAGGTTGCCACGGTGGGGCTGGATGACCTGCAAGACAGGTGCAAGAAAGCCTATGAGAAAGGAGCACGCTTTGCCAAGTGGCGCAACGTGTTGCAGTTAGATCCTGCCAAGGGTTTGCCAAGCGATTTAGCCATTGCCGACACTGTGCACACCTTGGCACGCTACGCGTCCATTTGCCAAAGCGAGGGCTTGGTGCCAATTGTTGAGCCCGAGATTGTCCCGAACGGCGCTCGCAGATTTGTTTCAGTCGTTTTGTAGGTAAGTTTTCCTCCTCCGGGCTACCAACTTCCCACACAGTGAGCCCGTCGCCTGTTTGATCGTGGGTGATGAAATAAACCAAAACCATCGTTTAAGAACTACATAGTTTCGCTAGAATTATTTTTACACTTTTTGTGCGTTCCTTGGGGAGGGGTGGCTACTTGCGTCTACTTGCTACCTGGCCAGGCAATCATGACATCTTCTACTGCGCGCAGATGACCGAGAAGGTCTTGGCAGCCCAGTTTAAGGCTTTGGCAGATCACCACATCTACCTGGAGGGTGCTGTGCTGAAACCCAACATGGTGAAGAACGGCTTAGCCGGCCCCAAAGCCTATCCAGAAACCATAGCCACCTTGACTTGCCAGACGCTGCTGCGCACAGTGCCTCCCGCCGTGCCGGGCATCTTTTTCTTGTCTGGCGAGACAGCGCTGAATGAGGACAATGAAGAGGAGGCAACCATCAACCTAAGCACAATGAACAAGCTCTTTTCAGGCAAATTGCCATGGCACTTGTCTTTCTCATATGGCAAAGCCTTGCAGAAGACTTGCGTCGTCACTTGGTTGGGCAAAGATGAGAACAAAGAGGCAGCCCAGAAGGCATTGCTGAACCGAGCCAAGGCAAACTCACAGGCTGTCTTTGGCAAGTACCAGAAGGGCAGCTGTGCCAGCGTCGGCACGGATGGAAATGTGATGCAAGCAGCCGGCCCTTACTAAGGCAAGTCTGCGCATGGAATGGACCAAAGTGGTCCCGAAAAGGTCAAGTAATATCTGGGAATGAACATGAAGATTATTGAACAGTCAATAAACTTGAGTACAGAATTCCAGGTTTGTGTTGGACCATACAAACCGAACGGTTGTTCATGCGCAGTTTTAATTCTTGATGAATTCAATCCAACTGCCGCGGTCTGACTCGGCAACTATCGTGCAGCTCGGATTCAACTGAATCAAGCTGAACACAGAGGGGTGTTGCACTTTTGACAATTTTGGCATGTGATGTTCGCTCAGGACTTGTGGGCATCTTATATCAGCACATGACGTTGGTGCAAAGACTTGTCACCTTGGCCTGACGTTGGCTTGTGATTCAGAAAGCTCTTTGTTCTGAGCGAACCTGAGATGAGTCACCAGACCTCAATGAGGTCGTACTTTGATGCCCGTTGTGGCATCGCAAGATGTCGCAAGGTTTGACAAAAGGAAACGGTGGCGCTGCCTCCCTGCTGAATCCTTGGCTGACACTGAAGTTGACTCGTTCGTAGGCCACCACTCGCATGATCAATTCCTGTCATGTCATGTGACATGTGTGGCTCCGCTGAGCTCTTTCCGAGCGATTCCCATGGCGCCTGCACGTCTCTTGGGCGATGGTCGCAGCACTTCTCTCTTGAGGACGATGTGGACGTCTCCAAGCAGTTGGTCACAGATGCAACAAGGGAAGCCATTGCCACAAAGGAAGCTTCAGTGGCTTGGTCTCAGAGATGTTTCGAAGAGAATTCTAATGTTGTCCAACTCCAGCATTGCTCCTTTCCAAAAAAGTAAAGCCAGAGTGATTTCCATGTCTGGAGTGAAATCGTACCTACCCTCATCTTCAACGTTGAAGTTTAGCTTCGAGTTTTGGAAGGACTGTGTTTAACTAACAAGTGCCATGATTACCCTAATGAAGTGTATTCTTGCATCCCAGCGACTTATTCTCTGAATTTTCAGCTTTATTATGACTTTGGAGCTGTCATTTGTATCTGCAGCAGGTTTTCCAGCAAGGCTCCGTGATATGAAGGCTCCTCACGCGATTGTTTGGTTTGAGGATGGTTCCTTATTTCGTCAGATCACTGTAGGGCATCCCCGTCAGAGTCTTTCAAATTTAGTCGGGAACTGCAAGCCGAAGCTGGGGCTGATTGACCTGAAGACTTTGTTGCTGACCTAGCAGTGCCATTATTACGTGTGCTGTGGCCAACATACTTTGCGGACTCCGCCCCGAAAACTGCACGCGTGAAATTCCGTGAAAATGCGTTATTTACCCGTTAGATGCCATGTTTACCCGTGAAGTTTTCCTCACCAACACTTAGACGCCAATCTTGTGATTTCCGAAAGCAGCGATGGCAACCCGAGCCTTGGTAAATGTTCAAGTTCACGACCAAAGCACGGAATGCATCTGCCTGATACGTGACAATAGGGGTTTGCTTTGAGGCGCGGCAGATTCTTGGCTTCAAGCTTGGGTTGGAGTATATTTCATAGATGCTCGACTTCTCAAGGGCCTAGTTTGGACCTTGCAATCCCAGAGGCAGTTGTTTTTTCACGGCAACATGAAACTTGGCCTCTGGAAGGTTCAATTCACCTAGGGTCTGATGCGTTTGAGGGAAACGGGGGCTGGAACCCTAAGTCCAAAACCCAAACCCCAAACCCTAAGCCCAAAAGCCTAAACCCAAAGTTTAGGGCTTGGGGCTAGGGGTTTTAGGGTTTAGGGTTTCACCTCAGAAGCGGCGCGCCTCGACCCAAAGGGTCGCGGCGGGGCGGCGCGTCGAGGCGGCAGCTTCTACCCGCCCCAATGCCACCCAAACTAGAATCTATTAGGGTTTAGGGTTTTAATTGGAAGCCCGGCGGGCAAGTGATAAGGATCGCGACAAGAAACAGAAACCTTGCAGCGGACAGTCCTGGTCGAGGGCGCCACCGCTTGTTTTCTCGACACGCCGCGCTCTGGCTAACGAAGATTATCTGACACTGTCCGCTTCTCGCTTTGCGGACGCAAAGTGCACCGTCGTGGCGTCGCCGCCGATTCGGTCGTGCGAGACAGGCCCTGTCAAGCCACAGGGTCACATGCTCCAATTGCTGCGCGAATGGGAGGCATATCTGGCCCATGGACGACATCGCATTGACCATCCGGTACATCAGCTGCTTGCCCTCGCCTCGTAGCGCCCATGTTTTGGAATGGTCAGACAGGCGTCACGAACTGGCAGACATGGCTGATGAGTGGACGCATTGCATGGCTCGCCCTGCTCGGCTTGAATCGCCTTGATACTTGTAGATTGCGCCAGCGTGGCCAAGGCGGACCGGGTAACGCGCTGCCCGGCCGTTGGGGGCGTCGACATCCGTGCGGGCGCTGGCCGGACACCAGGTTTAGCGTCTCCGCAAGGCCGTGTCTGGGATTGCGCCGGCGCCCTTGATCCGGCCACCACGCGCGGCAAATTCCACATGATCCCGCGCAAGCAGGGTTAAGTAGTTTTTATGTAAAAAATGTTAATGGTCGTTTTGTTAAGACGGTAGAAGTTAATTGCCAATTTCATATCATGCCGGGCAAGCAGTTTTTCAGCGGCCTTGTAGCCAAAAGCGGCCAAATGGTCGTTTATCAAGACCGGCTTATTTTTATAGCAGCAGCCAGATGGCCAGCCCCCCAGATTTGAGCCACGGATTGCAAATCCTATATCATGCTTGTGCCAGTTTATCAGCAAAAAGCGTCCAGATGGCCGTGTGTCAAGACCCGGCTTCAATGGCCAGTTTTATCAGCAGCAGCAGCCAGATGGCAGACCCTTATTCTTGATAAAGCGGGCATTGGATTCTGAGAAACTGGCCATTGATTGGGCTTGGCCGGCTTTGATAAAATTGCCATTGGCTTGGCCGGCCTTGATAAAACGGCCATCGGCTTTGATAAGCTAACCGTTGGCTAAAATTGCTTGCCCGGCCGCTGCTAATTTGTTCACATGGAATCATATGAAATTCGCAATCCGTTGCCTTGCTAAAACGGCCATTGGTCTTGCCTTTCTGGATATTACGGCCATTGGCCTCTGATAAACTGGCCATTGGGCTTGGATTGGTGCCCAGCCTTACGCAAGCAGCTCTGCAAGGAGGCTGAAAGGAGCCTTGGAGGGAGATGTATACGGAGCCCGACAAGGAAGCTCACAAGGAGCCTTGTAAAAGGAGCCCTGCAAGGAGGCTTTATCAAGGCTCTGAAGGCTATTTAGGATTTCGTAGTTTATCAAGACTCTAAAGACCATTTAGGATTTTTGACCTTAGGGTTTAGGGCACGACAATATAGGAGCTACCGCTCCATGTTAGTGCTGTCAGCACAGGTCACCTCTTATGATCGCATCAAGAGCGAGGACGGAGCAGAAAGCTAACTCTTCCTGCTCGCCTTGTCAGGAGTCAGGGCAGCTAGACGCAGCCGGGTCGCTAAGCGCGCCCTGCGCTCGCGATACAGAAAACCAGCAAAAGCCGTGCATGGATGTGGGTGGGTGGGTAAGAATAGATGGATGCGTGCATTCTGGGAAGTCAAAGGCCAGGGTTTAGGTCAGTCAGCCCTGTTGAGGAGGGTGGGGGGGAGGATTCTGGAAGGGTTTAGGGTTTGGGTTGGTGGGGGTTTTAGGCTTTAGGGTCTAGTAGCACCCCGCAACAGCATTTTCATAGGTTGCCAAGTGTTTTTGCAGAAAGCTTCAGGTTTTTTTTAGAAAAGCTAAAAAATCTCCAGCTTTTGCAATCCTGCGCGGGCCAGGCGTGACTGGATCGATCCTTCCCAAAAGAAAGTTGAGAAGGTCGCGCGAAGCCCCGGTGGCGAGCGGGGAGCGAAGGCGAGCGCGAGCGGGGGCGAGGCGCGCAAAGTAAGAAGACGACGACGTCAGGCCGCGCATAGATTCTTTGCACGTGGCTCAAATTGGGGGTCTGGCAATTCGGCTATAAAACGGCCACTGGGGCGCTTTTAGCCAAAGCTGGCTTGGCCTGGCCGCTGATAAACTCTTTGTATGGGATCATATGAGCAATCCGCGGGCCAAATCTAAAGATCTGGCTATTTGGCTGCTTCGGCATTGATCATAGCGGCCATTGAAGCTGGCCTTGATAAAAAACGGCCGTTGGGCCGGAAATCTGGATCTGGCCATTGGAGCTGCCCTTTATGAACCGCCCTTGGGCAAATCTGCCGGCTGCCCACCCTGTAACAACAGCTGCCGGACCTGGCCTTTCGCGGCAGTCGCTGCTGCAGCTGCTGCCTTGAGCCCAGGCGCCCCAAGGTGTTGCTGGGCGGCGCAGTGGCTTGGCCAGGCCGCTGCATTCTTGGCGCGGTATCATATGGAATTGGCCATCCGCGGCTCAAATCTAAGTGCTTGGCCATTTGGCTGCTTCTGCATTGATAAAAGTTGCCTGATAAAGCGGCCATCGGGCCGCTTTTCGCAACAATCCGGCTTGGCCCGGCCGGGCCATTGGAGCTGGCCTTGATAAAACGGCCATTGGGCGCGCCGCCAGCGCAACCAAAAAGTGTAGGATTTAGGGTGTATACCTTTCCAAAGTAAGGGCAGTACTGCCTGGGGCAAGTTAAGCAGCCGGGCTTGCTTCGGAGACTTCTCCTCAGCTGATAAGACGATTGGCGCTCCGCTGGCGCTCCGGCAGCCTCGCCCATATGGGGTTGGTGGGCTCGGCTTGGACTAGGGTTTAGGGTGCGGGCAGAGCCGTCCAGGACTAGATTGCACACCTTCGGGCCGGGGTTTCTTGTTCTTATTGCAAATTTTGCGCGGAGCAAGAGCGAGTCGACATCTTTGCAGAAGGAAGAGAGAAGTTGGCGCGAATCCCCGGCGGCGCGAGGCGAGCGGGGAGCGAAGGCGAGCGCGGACGGGGTGAGGCGCGCAAAGCCCGGGTCGGCTCGAAGAGCGGGGCGTCGCCTAGACCGGCTTGGGAGAGCTAAGCGGCGCAGGCCTGGCAGGGGACCGCCCCCCCTTCAAATCGTGACCGGCCCTGCTTGGCTTCGTGAGCGACCCTCGTTTCTTCCTCTCTGCGTGTGCGCTTGTTGGACGCCGCGCGTCTCTGCG